TCGGAGAAGCCTCAGAGCCCGTGGGAAACATGAGGGCCCCTGGGAGGCGGTTCCAAGCTGAGCTGGAGGGCTTCGGGGCCTCTTGAAGGAGGCCTCAGGGCATTTTTGGGAAAGGCCTGGATCGGAGGAGCTTCTGGGCCTCGGGGAGAGAGCAGGAGGAGGATAAGGAGGAAGAGGAGGAGGACGAAGTGGGAGGGAAGAAGCGGGGGGAGGAGGAGGAGGAGGAGGAGGAGGAGGAGGAGGAGGCGGAGGAAGAGGAGGAGGAGGAGGAGGAGGAGGAGGAGGAGGAGGAGAATGAGGACGATGACGAGGACGACGGGGTCGCCACCGCGGGCTCCCGGGCCGCCCCTTGCACGCGGAACGCGCCAAGGAGGCGCGGGTGCAGACCTCCGAATGAATGGGGCATTCTTGATAATCGGCAGCCCCCTTCCCGCTACTCTCTCTCTTGTGGTCCATCCTCATCCTTCCCCCTGCCCCTGCCTTAGGGGCTGCGCGAGACACGCGTTGCAGGTAATAATGATACACCCCTAAGGGGGAGCGATCGAAGACGAAGGGGGCGGGTATCGAGGGCGTGGGATATACGTGATGAGTGGCACGCGAGCAGAAAAGAGCGAACAATCTTAAACTGATGTTTGTTGCTGTTGTTGTTGCTGCTGTTGCTGTTGCTGTTGAACTTGTTGTTGTTGTTGTTGCTGTTGCTGTTGTTCCCAACCATCCTGTGGTGTTGGGTCCTGGTTTTGAAGAGACGGTCCCCGCGTTCCCTCCCTCCTTTCTTCCTTCCTCCTCCTCCCTCCTGCTCCTCCTCTTCCCGCTCCTCCCTCATTTCGTGGCCTTGTGGGGAGCTCCACCGAAGGCTCCACTGGGACCGCCCGCATGCGTCATCCACCACCCAACACAACATTTCGTTGCCCCATACGGGGGGCTCCACCGAAGGCTCCACTGGGACCGTCAGCATGCGTCATCCACCACCCAGTACAGCGCTTCGTGGCCCCATAAGGGAGCTCCACCGAAGGGCCGAGTGGGACCGCCCGCATGCGTCATCCACCACCCGGCATAGCGCTTCGTGGCCCCATAGGGAACTCCACCTTACGCCCCACTGGGACCGCCCGCGTGCGTCATCCACCACCCAGCGAAGCATTTCGTGGCTTCATAGGGAACTCCACCGAAAGCTCCAGTTGGACCGCCCGCATGCGTCATCCACCACCCAGTACAACACTTCGTGGCCCCATGGGGAGCTCCACCGAAGGCTCCAGTGGGACCGCGTGCGTCATCCACCATCCACTACACCGTTTCGTGGCCCCATAATGGGGGGCTCCACCGAAGGCCCCAGTGGGACCGCCCGCGTGCGTCATCCACCACCCAAGGCAGCGTTTCGTGGCCCCATAAGGGAGCTCCGCCGAAGGCCCCAGTGAGACCGCCCGCGTGCGTCATCTACCACCCAGTACAGCGTTTCGTGACCCCATCGGGAGTTCCACCGAAAACCCCAGTGGGACCGCCCGCGCGCGTCATCCACCACCAAGTACAACGCTTCGTGGCCCCATAGGAAGCTCCACCGAAAGCCCCAGTGGGAACGCCTGCGCGCGTCATCCACCACCCAACATAGCACTTCGTGGCCCCATAGGGAGCTCCACCAAAGGCTCCGATAGAACCGCCCGCATGCGTCATCCACCACCCAGTACAACGTTTCGTGGCCCCATAGAGGGCTCCACAGAAGGCCCAAGTAGGACCGCATGCGTGCGTCATCCACCACCCAGTACAACGCTTCGTGGCCCGATAGGGGGCCCCGCCGAAGGCCCCAGTGGGACCGCACGCGGGCGTCATCCACCACCCAGTGCAGCGTTCCGTGACCCCACAGGTATCTCCACTTAAGGTCTCCGTGGCGGTACTCGCATGGCGGCCCAGTGGCGGAGTTCGCATGGCGGCGAAGTTCGGTGTTCGGAGGTTTTCCATCGTATTCGACGTATTCAAGCCACTTGCGGGCCGCGCATCCCGGGCGGGAGCCAGCCTGCTCGCTCTCTGCTCCGCGCAACGGACGACCCGCGCGCGTCGCCGGGACCCCTTCGGGGCGACCGGCGCGCGTCGCGGGGACTCCGTGCGGCGCCGCGCCCGCAGCCTTGGACGTGGGCGTGCACGGGCAAAAAGGGAGAAGAAGAACGGGAAGGAAGCGGGCGCGATCCTCGTGAGGGGCGCGCCGACATGGGCGTCGACATTTATGCACGTAGACTCACGCGCGCGCGGACTCATCCACAATCAGACTCACTCGCTCTCAGGTCTGTCGCACACAAACCTATCGTCTTCGCTCGCGTGGTGTGCGCCGCCACGCATGCCGGCACGCCGCTTACACGGTTCGTGACCCTATAGGGAGCGCGGGCGAAGATGATATTCATAACTGCGGTATTCACAGCTGCATATGGTTGGGTCCTTCGCCAGGCAAATTTCTGTTGTTGTCGTTGCAAGTGCGAGACTACATCCTCCCGTCGTGGACCTGCGCGCCCTCCTCCTGTGCTGTCCATCCTGCACTTCGCGTGCTGCAGCCTCTGCTCCAGCCCCTGGGGGTGGCCGTGATGCCGCCCCGCGCCCGCTGCCAGGGTGATGCAGCTCTGGCTGGCCGCCCCGGCCGCTCCACGGCGATGCACCTCGCCCTGTGAACGCCCTCCGCTCCTCCTCTCTTTTCCCTCCCGCGGCCGCCCGCCCGTGCCCTTCTCCCTACCTCTTGCTGCCGGACAGGTAGCGCCTGCCGTCTCCTGGCCCGCTCGAGCGCGCGTGCGGACTGCCTCTGCCGCGCTGGGACGGAAGAATGGTAGTTGCTGTTGTTACTGCAGTTTCGTTGTGATTGTTGTTGTTGTTGGTATTGTTGTTGACGTTGCCGTTGATGTTGATGTTGATGTCGCTGGCTGCGGCGGCGTCCTGTCCCTCCATGGTGATGGTGGTGGTGGCGATAATTGTGATGGTGGTGGCGGTGATGGTGGTGGTGATGATGGGGATGATCGTGGCGATGTTTGTTGTGCTAATGATGGTGATGAGGATTTTTATCGGTAGCTGCGGAGTGAGAATACGGCGGTGGTGCACGGCTGCTCCCCACCCGTCGTATACCCCTTTAGCGGTGCCAGCATTTGATAGTGATACTGATGATGAGCATGATGCTGAGGATTACCACGATTAGATTAGTGATGGTGATGCCCGTGATGATGATGACGACGATGATGATGATGCTGATGATTGTGATGGTGATGGGGAGGAGGAAGAGGACGAGGAAGAGTATGATGATGCTGATTATTTTGACTATGCTGATGATGATTGTGAGTATGGCTATGGCTCTTATGCTGATGCTGATGATGCTGATAATGCTTATTATGCTTAGGATGATGATGGTGGTGATGACGCTGATGCTACTGCTAATGATGATGATGATGATGCTGCTGATGCTGCTGATACTGCTGCTGCTGCTGCTGATGATGATGATAATAATAATATTGATGACGGTAGGGGGTCTGCGTCGCAGTCGTTCTCGTTGTCGTCGGCGGCATCCTCTCCCTCCTCTTGCAGAGCGGGGGCCCGCCCTGTATGTGGGACAGCCTGCCTCTGACCAAGCTTCCATGCCTTCATGCGTTCTCGTTCTCCGGGTGGGAGAAGGTTCCAGCAGGCGCGTAAACTTGGGCGTGCCGCTTCGGGGTGAGGGAGGGGGGGGGAGAGGACGTGGAGAAGGACAAGGGGGCAGCCAGCGGTAGCTTCTGTGCCTCCGAATCCCACTGGATCGCTGCATGCAGCTCTGCTGGCCAGCACCAGCAAAGCGACGCCAGCTCTCGTCAAGAGTATGAGGAACGGCGACCAGAGTAAACCCAGGATGCGTGGACGATGCCAGGGGGGGAGGGGGAGGGGTGAGGATAGAAGACGCGCACGAAAGTGCGATACACAAACCTTCAGAGGTCCACGCGGATTTCTTGGGTCGGCGCTGGATCTACCTGCCCACCAGTGCGCTCCGCACGCTGAGATGATATGGGAAGAGGGCGTGCAACGCTCGCCCAAGAAATCCGCGTAAAAACATCAGAACGGTTGATGCTCCTGCCGGTTGTTCGGCCCTCGAGAGGAGACGGAGTGTCCGTTGCCTGTCCAAGCGCCGCCCACGACTCGACCTCAGGTCCGCGGACGGCCTTCGCGACAGAGCGAGACGCTCGCGGGCCGAGGCGGGACCGGGGGGGCTGGGCGGATACGTTCGGTCGCGGCAGGAGGCAGTGGATATCCAAGAGGCTGCAAGACTCTTCATCTGGCAACGTGGTACAGGCATGCCAGAGGGCAAAAGGCTGCCTTCGATTACACAACGTCGATCTACTCATCGACCGCGCCTGCAAACGCATGATGAGAAGATAAGTGCAAAGAGGTAGCACTGGCGAGGTGAGAAGGGTCAGATGAGGAGTGTGGATACGTGGGTGAGTTAACGAATGAGGTCGCGAATGAATGAATCCATGTCATGTGACATGAATGAAACTGGCGGGGTCATGAATCAACTGATAGACGAACGGCTTATGCCATACATGATCGCCAACGACTGCAATTGGCTGAACGCTTGGTCAACGATTGAATGGGGCTACCCTCTGGTCAATAATTAACTGATTCATTCATCCATCCACTCATTCATTCATTGTCTGCGGTGGCTCGCGTTCATCCGCTTACGTGTCTTTCTCTCTCTCTCTCTCATTCCACTCGTCCATTCGCTGGGAGGGCGTCAGGGCAGCATGTGGTAAGGCTTTGGGTTGCGCGCAGACAGACCTTCCCCGATACTTCTGGCTGGCCTCAGCAGGTCCCTTGAATAGTCCGCGGCGGTCTCGACACCCCAACCCTGGGGTGCGGAGCGCACCAATGGCGTCGATGGAGGCGGCGCCAAGGTGCTGAGACCGGCCTGGCCTACTCTTGGAACCTGTTGAAGCCAACTGGGAGTACCCGGGGAGGCTGCCTATGCGCCGAAGCCTTACCAACACGGCGCACCGCACGCGCACATGATCCGTCGCACGCAAGCTGGGGCGGGAGCCTCTTGAGCGCTCGCAGAGTCAAAGTCAGGCTGGGCGAGGCCGCCGAAGTTCGATCCCGGTATCCGACACTTTTTCGTCGGCGGCTAGGCAGGGGTCGTCTGCACAGGCGGATGAGCCAACTAGACGGGGGCCGCCGTGGTAGCGAATTGGCCACCGTCCCAGAAGATGGGGAGGGGAGGAAGCCCCTGTCTCCGACACACGAGGCACACTCTTCTCGGCTTCCCGACGAGACGCCGCACAGGGCCCGAGGCGCCCAGGGCCGGCCTCAAGGCTCCCTCAGGCCCTCCTCGGCGTGCCGCAGCTCCGCCACCGCGGCGCCGTGCAGGACGCAGTACGCGCAGCAGGGCCCGCACAGCATGGTCGCCAGCGACAGCGCGGGCACCACCTTCAGAGGAGCAAAAAAACCGCATAAAGGTGAACATTGGGAAGTCCGCGCGGAAGTTTGGGATCGGCGCTGGACCCCCCTGACGGCGCGTTTGCGCAGATTTCCTGGGTCGGCGCTGGGGTTGCCCCCTCCCCACGTCGCCTCCCCATCGTGCCGAGCGCACTGGTGGAGACGTGGGCCCCTCGCCGATCCAAGAAATCCGCGCGGGCATCCGAAAATTTTATGTTCATGATGCCTCTGGCGTTTTTCGTGCTCCTGGGGGCCTCCTGGAGGCTTCTCGTCGCCACCGCGGGATCCGCCTCGGAAAACGGGTCAGGATGAACCTCAGGAGGGGTCCAGGGATCGATTTTGAGCGCATCTGGGCTGGGCGGACGGAATAAGCATACACTTTCGGAGGTCCGCGCGGATCTCTTGGGTCGGCGCTGGACCAAGAGCCGGGGGCGGCGCCGAAGGCGCCGCCAGGGGTGGCCTCAGCGCAGATTCAAGGAATCCGCGCGGGGCTCCGACGATTTACGTTTACCCAGCGCTTCTAATTCGACGCCTTGTACACGACGTTGCACATCTCCCACAGCACCACGCCGCACTGGCTGGGGGAGCTGCGCACCGTCCAGGAGAGGCCCGTGACGAGCTCGCCCAGCAGCACGCACGCCAGCAGGAGCGTCGGGGAGAGCATGAAGCACGCCACCTGCGCGCACGCGCGCTGGCGGGAGACCTCTGCGACGCCTGCGCACAGAGTGGTCAGCAGGGAGACGACGCCTGTCCAGTAGAGGATGTGCCGGAGGAGGGCCCGTCGAGACAACGGCGGCCTTCCCTGGCGTTTGCCGTCCTCGCTGGGCCTGCTGGAGGCTTCTCGTCGCCACGGCAGGATCCGCCTCGAAGAACGGGTGAGGACGGACCCCCGGGGAGGGGTCCGGTCCGGGGATTGATCTGCGGGGCCGTGGGCTGGGCGGGAGGGCCGCCGCTGTCTCAGCTGGCCCCTCTCTGGATGTAGTTCAGCGACTCCTCGCAGGTCTCGCTCTGGTACCTCTTGGCCACCCACACCGTCGCAGCCGAGAGCGCCAGGGACAGCGAGCCCAGGAGCGCCACGGGCCACAGCTCTACGAGGGGCCTCGCCGGGCGATCCTGCCTGGGCCCGGCGAACCGTGCGGTGTCACCGCCAGCGCCGCCGTGGAGCGCCACGGCCAGGCGATCCGATATGCCCCGCACGATGGAGTTGTGCGCATGGCCCATCAGCTGCGCCCGGCTTGTCTCCTCCCGATCCACGTGCATGTACCAGGTCGCAATCGCCATGCGGATCTGCTCTACGGAGACGTGCGCCTCGGTGGCACCCAGGCCTATCGCCACCTCCCTCACGTGCATCACCTCCTCCTCGGGCACAGGGAGGGAATCGTTCAGCGTCTCGAGCAACTCCTTCAAGAGCTGCACCGATGGCAACGGCCCATCGCCGATACCATACCGGGTAAGGCTGACACCAACCGATTTGGGCATGTAGTTGAACGCGTACCATGCCCTTACAGCTGGCAACACCTCGTCGGAGGAGATCTTGCCATTGTGGTCCGCGTCCGCGATCCGCAGCACGCTCCTCACGTCGTGCTCCCTGGCTGGAGCGCCGCCCTTGCAGTCCTCGAGCAGGTGCCTGAGCTCCTCGTGCTCGAGCACGCCACTCCTGTCCACGTCGTACCTGCGCATGAGCTGCGCGGCCCCCAGCTCGCGGGCGTTGAAGGCCTGCCGCACGTCGAGCCGCTGCCGGCCGCAGAGGCTCCTGGGTGCCGGCTGGCTCTTGGCAGCCGTGCTGCGCCTGCAGGACCTCTCGGGCCCGTGGAGACCGAGCAGGGGCCGAACCAGGCTGCTCGCAGAAGAAGGAACAGCGTCATAAACGCAAGCTTTCGGATGTGATCGTTTTCTGCATTGTTTTGCCCGTCGGCGCGGGCCCTCGCACCCCCTCCCTCCACCCACCCCATGGAGTAGATCTTGGCTGTTTTGGGCGCCTGTTCCAAGCAGGTGGTGTCTTCTCATAGGACGCATTTTTTGCAAGCAGTCGCATTAAGCAAAGGTCCGGAGCCAGGACCCCCCCCCCCCCCGCTTTCCCCCTTCCGATCATTGTCGGAACGCCGAATAAGAGAACGTTCACGATCTTCGAGCAGATTTCTTGGATCGGCACTGGGCCTCGCGGGCGGCGAAGGGAGGAGATTCCGGCGCCGATCCGAGAAACCCGCGCGGATCTCCAACAGTCTCTGCTTTCATGCCGCTTTTCCCTCTCCTGGCTCGTCCAGCTGCCCCAGCGGCGCCCGTCGCCAGAGGGGGGGGCGGTGCCTGCCGGGCCGGAGGAGGCTGCGGGGCCCATGACGTACGACTCCTCCCGCTCGGCAGGCCCGCCGGCCCACCCGACCGCCTCGCTGCTGGGCGCCGGCTCTCCTGCGGTGCCCGGCCGGGGGCCGCCGCCTGCGGTCCGTGCTCTGGACGAGGCCCTCCTTCGGCTGCTGCCCGCCACGGCCTTGGGCACCGCTTGGCGGGCCCCCGTGAGGTCGCCGCCCTCGGCGCCGGCGGCGTCGCCAGGGCTCCAGCCTCCAGCCGAGGCCAGAGAAGGCTCCACTGCGAGCGCGGCCGGGGGCGTCAGGGCCTCGGCGGGGGCGGCGCTCATGGGGCCGGTGGGCGAGATTGGCGCGGGTGGCGGCGCCTGCCCCGTCGCGGTGGGAGACGCCCACGGCCCCTCGGCGGCACCGTTGCCTGCCTCGGACGGCTCCTGGACAGGCAGCTGTTGGGGCAGCGTCAGCGGTACAAGCCAGTCGCTGTGCGTCCCGCTGCTGGCCTTCTCCAGCGGCGTGTGCTCCGGCAGCTTGTCCGGCTTCACGGAAGAGGCGGCATGGCCGCTGCCGTGCTCCACGCCCAGGGCGAGGCCAGCCCCCCCGCAAGGCTCCTCCGCCACCGGCGGCTCTGGCGCCTTCGGCGGCGCGAGGCTATCGCCGTCTGGCTCCACGGAGGGGGCCGTGGTGCCGCCGTCGAGCTCACCGAGGGGGGGGTCGGCTCCCTCTGCGGGCGCCTCCCGCGGCGGCAGCATCAATGGTATCGCCGTGCTTTCGGCGAGGCCGGCGCAAGCGTTCGCCTCGGGAGGGGCCTCCCGCGGCGGCGGCATCAGCTGTATCGTCGTGCTTTCGGGGAAGTCGCCGTCATCTTCCGGGTCCGCCTCCAAGGGCCCTTCCCGCGGCGGCGGCATCAGCTGAATCGTCGTGCTGTCGGCGAGGTCGCCGCAGGCGTCCGCCTCCAGGGGCACCTCCCTCGGCGGCGGCATAAGCTGAATCGTCATGCTGTCGACGACGTGGCCGTCAGCGTCCGCCTCTGGGGGAACCTCCCGCGGCGGCGGCATCGGCTGAATCATCGTGCTTTCGGCGACGTCGTTGTCAGCGTCAGCCTCTGGGGGCGCCGGCGGCGTCATCAACTGAAACGTCGTGCTTGCGGCGACGTCGCCGTTAGCGTCCGCGCCCCGATCGGAGGGGGCGACTGCGACGGTGGGCTCTTCCAGTTCTGGCGGCGGCTGCAGATGTATGATGGTGCTGCCCTCGTCCGCATTCGACATATCGCCATCGGCCGGCTCCTCCTGCATGGCCCCCACAGCCGCCTCGCCGCGTGACTCATCAGTTACTGCGGCCATTGCCAGCGTTGGGCCCCTCCCCCCGCAAGCCTTGAGCCCAAATCCGCTACGGTCCTACCTGCCCCACGCTCAAATCGCCCTCGTCCCATCCTGGGCAACGTCCTGGCACACGGTGGGTGGCGACGAGTTCAAGGGCCAAGACAAGATGGCCTCCAGCCTTGCTCATACGAATACCTTAGAAGGCCCTGCGATAAATTGGAATGGCCCACGAGCCTTCCAAATGAGCCCTGTACAAGCCGCGCTCATTTCGCCTTCGCGCCTTTTTCGCGGAGGCTTCGAAATCGCCCGAACAGGCAGTAGAGGGCCCTAAGAGGGGCCACAAGGGCACCGAGTGGGTCCCGAAAGCTTCCAAAAACACTGCAAGATAGCCCCAATATGCCCCCCCCCACGAATGCTGCCTTTATTGTTCGACGCCCTATAGCGGCAATTAACTCCACGTCCATGCCTAAGCTGCTGCCCAGAATTTGCAGGATGCTCCAGGAATCACCAGGATGCTTCAGAGCGCTCCTGGAGGGCCCAGGAGGCCCCAGAAGGCCGAACTAGGCACCAAGATGCTCTCGCATATGTTCAAACTCACCCATATTCGGATCCACTCATACCGGGCCGCTCAAAAGCAGTCTCGCTCATGTTCATACCTGCTCACACTCATATTAGTTCATAGTTTAGCTCCGATTCTCCGAAACACATCTTAAACGCACAGGAACCAATACTGAGGGGCAACGGTAAGGCTGTACCAGCTTACGGGGGAACCATCGAGATTGATTCGGAGATACATCGAGGATAAACCGGCGATACATCGCCGATAAATCGGTGGGGTGGGCTATCAAGCCCCTGTCGGCGATGAGTGGGCGATTGGTGGTCGATGTGCTCCCCCCCCTTCAGATCCTATCCCCCCCCCTGGGTGAAAAATCGACCCTGGACCTATCCTGGAGAGCGCTCTGACCAGAATTTCGTAGCGGATCCAGCCGTGGCCACGCGGGCGCCCCAGGACGATCCTAAACATCTCGAGATCCAGTGATCCAGAACCCGAGATCCTGAGCGTCTCGGCCGGAAGCAGAGAGGCCTGTGGCGGCAGCCAGCCGCTAAAGCCCCACATGTGCGTGGGCGCGCCCCATCCTCGGGCGGTGCGGCGCGCGGCAGGGCCCCCGGGGGCGGGGCGGGGCGGAGGCTCCGCTTCCTCCCCGCGTGCCCCCGCGCGCGCGCACGGCGGCGCGCGCCTTTTGAGCCAAGGCGAATCCCCGGACGGGCGAGGCGCGCCCGGCGCGCGCTGCCCGGTCCCTCGAGGCTGGCCGCCGTGGAGGCCCGGGAGCTCCGACGAGGTGGTCTTTGTAGTCCCGGCGTTTTTCTCCTCGAGTTCGGCCTCCAGGGGCCCGCGGTGGGCACCAGGGGCCCGAGAGCGGGGAACCGCATCCAGGGCCCCTTCCTACGGGACCCGCGTCCTTCGTGCTAGGCTGTCGTCGTCGTCGCCGTCGTCGTCCGACAACCTCGTCGTCCGACGCCGTCGGCATCCGCGGCGGTTGAAACGAGGCAATGGGGCGACGGTAGAGGGAGAGGCGGGGTCCAGGAGCGAGGAGAAAGGACGCACATGGGAGGACATCGCAGTCGAGGGAACGGAACACACAACAGCATGACAGAAGGACGCGGGATGCAAAGACGCCGTGCGACAGGCGCCAAAGTCACCTCCTGCGATCATGCCTGGCGAGAAGCTGTGGCACACTGCTGGTGCTGATCGAAACGGGGCGGAGCGACACACCTAGGAATGAGGGTGGAGGAAGAAGAAGAACATTGCACAATTGCACCATGGCTAAATCGCACCCGACGACGAAGGTTGCAACCGCGAAGGTTGTCACTGCCCGCCCAGGACATCGAGCTGGACTCGGCGATACATCGCCGATAGACCAGCGAAACCGAACGTCCCTGGGCGGGTTGGCTATCGGGCCCCCATCGGCGATGAATGGGCAATGGGGGGTCGATGCGTTCCCCCTGAGCCTCTCCCCCTGTAAATGTTGCCCCTGGGGGCGCCTAGGAAGAAGTCTCGCTGGTCCTTCTGATGATTGCGCGATAAACGCCCCCTAGTCCAGCCAGAAAACATGGCTGCCCATGTTGTACATAGATTGGCAACTCTCTGCGGATATCTGGTTAAGTATGCGCTACGTCTACATCGTAGAGCGGGGGGGCTGGGAAAGGGCATGCCATTCCTTGACAATTACTCCGACGGTAGGACCCCGCATGAGAATCTGTTTAGCTTACCCTTTGCCCTTTCCTCCTCCCCCTGGCGGACACCCTCTCCTCTCGCCCCCTGCACTGCCCTCTCTTCCCCCTTATATTTCTCTTCCTCCTCTTTCTCCTCCTCTTTCTCCTCCTCCTCCTCCTCCTCCTCCTCCTCCTCCTCCTCCTCCTCCTCCTCCTCCTCCTCCTCTCGCGCCACCTCCTCCTCGTCGTCGGCCTCCCCCATGCGTCTTCCCTCCTCATCCCCCTGCCTTTTTCTCCATGTGCACCTCCCCTTCCCCCTCGTCGGGGCAAGCAAATCCATTTTCCTCAGCGCCGTCGCCGCCTCGGCCAGCGCGCGCGCGCGTCTGCCGACGGCTAGATCGCGAAGCCGTCGGGACAAACCTTCGGGCTGGGCCGTTGAGACAACCTCGCAGGCCGCTGGGGCGTGGGAGCTAGCCGTTGGGACAATCCCGCGGGCCTCCAGGCGCGCGCCGCGGCGCTCAGGCGGGGGGCAGCATGAAGCCCAGCTCTGCCGCGAGCTGCTCCGCCTCAGCCCTGGAGTCCACCGCTCTCTTGTCGAACTCCTCGGGCGCCTTCCGCAGGGACGCTGGCGGCCCGCGCTCCAGGAACTCTCGCTCGAGACTTCCTCCATATTCAGGTCTCAAGAGCCCAAAAGTGAGGACAGTTGCACGTTGCGGATGACCCGCTCGGATTCGAACATGAAGTGCGGGCCCCATAGGGAGGGGGCTCCCGCCTGAGACTTCCTCACAATTCACTCACGGACGAGGCTCCCGCTCGATACTTCCTCCATATTCACGCCTCGAGAGCCCAAACGTGACGACAGTTGCACGTTGCGGATGACCCGCTCGGATTCAAACACGAAGTGCGGGCCCCATAGGGAGGGGGCTCCCGCCTGAGACTTCCTCACAATTCACTCACAGACGCTCCCGCTGAGACTTCCTCCATATTCTTCAAGAGCCCAAAAGTGACGACAGTTGCACGTTGCGGATGACCCGCTCGGATTCAAACATGAAGTGCGGGCCCCATAGGGAGGGGGCTCCCGCCTGAGACTTCCTCACAATTCACTCACAGACGAGGCTCCCGCTACTTCCTCCATATTCAGGTCTCAAGAGCCCAAAAGTGACGACAGTTACACGTTGCGGATGACCCGCTCGGATTCGAACATGAAGTGCGGGCCCCATAGGGAGGGGGCTCCCGCCTGAGACTTCCTCACAATTCACTCACAGACGAGGCTCCCGCCTGATACTTCCTCCATATTCAGGCCTCAAGAGCCCAAAAGTGACGACAGTTACACGTTGCGGATGACCCGCTCGGATTCAAACATGAAGTGCGGGCCCCAAAGGGAGGGAGCTCCCGCCTGAGACTTCCTCGCAATTCACTCACGAACCAGGCTCCCGCTCGAGACTTCCTCCATATTCAGGCCTCAAGAGCCCAAAAGTGACGACAGCTACACGTTGCGGATGACCCGCTCGGATTCAAACATGAAGTGCGGGCCCCATAGGGAGGGGGCTCCCGCCTGAGACTTCCTCGCAATTCACTCACGAACCAGGCTCCCGCTCGAGACTTCCTCCATATTCAGGTCCCAAGAGCCCAAAAGTGACGGCAGTTGCACGTTGCGGATGACCCGCTCGGATTCGAACATGAAGTGCGGGCCCCATAGAGAGGGGGCTCCCGCCTGAGACTTCCTCACGATTCACTCACAGACGAGGCTCCCGCCTGATACTTCCTCCATATTCAGGCCTCAAGTCAGCGATGATGATGATGATGATGATGATGATGATGATGATGATGATGATGATGATGATGATGATGATGATGATGATGATGATGATGATGATGATGATGATGATGATGATGATGATGATCGTTCGATGCCGATGATGGTGAGTGATCGTGGGATGGTGATGGTGATGCTGATGGTGATGATGATGATGATGATGATGATGATGATGATGATGATGATGATGATGATGATGATGATGATGATGAGTGGGGAGTGATGGTGATGGTGCTGATGATGCGGAAGAGGAAGCAAAGAGGAGCAGAAGAGAGGGAGGAGGAGGAGGAGGAGAAGAGATCCTGCGCGGAGGGTGTGCAGAGAAAACAATAACCCCACTTAGGATGTGGGGAAAAAAACCCGCCCCCCCGATTTTAGGCCACCGCGATCGCCGCGGCGACCTCCAAAGCCGACCCTGAGGTTATGTTCTGGGCCAGATATCACGCAACGATCTGACTCGGGGCGGCCCAGGCCCAGAGGGGCAAGGCGGATGGCGTGCGCGGCGCGTGCGCGCGGCGGGCGGTCGCCTGCAAGCAGCGGGCGCTCTCTGGAGCTGCCGCCGGCCGCGGCATGGCGCGGCAGCGCGCCCGGCGGACGGCCCAGGGCGCCGGCGGAGGGCTCGAGCTATACGGAGGCCAAGGCCGCGGGGAAGGGCCAACCGGCAGAAGCGCACACTTGTGGAGTGCACGCACATACACGTATTTGCATCCGCTTGGCTGTAAACAAGCGTGGGCACCAACGTATTTGCATTCGCTTGACTGTTACACGTAATTTGCATTCGTTTGACTGTGCTACATAGCTTGCGCCCCATATTTTGCGCCAAATAGATTCTCCTAAACAAAGAATAGATTCACCCCCCCACCCTCCCAAGATTATCGGTACCCCTTTTCGTAATGCAATTTGCACATGATTCTGCCCCATCGCCTGTCCTAAATATGAACTCGTACCATCCCAGTCCAACCGGTATCGACCCCCCCCTGTCATCCTCTGCAGAAAACACTATGCGCGCACACTCGCTTATCAGGATCATCAGTTTTCAAGAATCCCTTGCAACAAATGGGACGAAGTGCGCACGAGTGCGTCGTTGTGCGCGCATGCCGAACTCATCCAAAAACGTTAGGTCTCGGGATGATTTCAAATTCGAGTGTCCAACAAACATATAGACACACACATGGTTTCGCAACATGGACTGTCGAAAAAAACTTGCGCGAACGCGCCCGTGCGAATTCTTGAAAGAACCATCGGTTCTTCAACATTTTCATCACATGCTACCAAGCGGACTTCGCACACGCATGTCGAACTCGTTCGAACGCCCTTGCGCGCGTGCCGTCGCGAGAATCCTTTGCAAACAAAGGGACGAAGAGTACGCGCGCGCGTCGTCGCGCGCGCATTCCGAAATCCTTCAAACACCTTCGGTTTCGTAGCGATCTCAAAACCGAATGTAAAAAGCAACATTCAAAACACATGGTTTCGCAACATCAGTTTTCAAAAAAGCTTGCGCGCGTGCTCTTGCGAATTCTTGAGAAACTCATTGGATTTTCAACATCTTCATGAAATTCTGCCAAACGGGCCTCTGGCGCCGCATGCCGACATCATTCGCACGCCCTTGCGCGCGTGCTGGGGGGTTGCTCCACGGAGATTGCCCAATATATATATATATATAGATATATGTATATATATATATATATATATACATATATATATATATATATATATATATATATGTAAATTTATGTATATATATATATATATATATATAGAATATCCGCCGCCGTGCCGCAGGGCACGGAGTGGGCGTGTCCTCAGATCCTTTGCCGAACCATCAAATCCTGAGGAGTCTTTTAGCGGCCCGGACCCCGAATTCACAAATCTCCTTGGGCTTGCCGCGTGCCCCCTGGGCCCCCCGGAAACTTCCCGCGTGATTGTTCGGGTCCAAGAATGCCCCAGGACGGGCCAATAGGGCCGCAAGATGCCTCTAAGACGGTCCAAGAGGACCACGAGTCGCCGAACGATCGCTCTAAGACGCCCAAGATGGCCCCAGGATGGCCTAAGATGCCACCAAGACGCTCCCAGAGGTCTCCAAGAAGAGCCCAAGAAGGCTCCAAGATACCAGAATCGTTGGTTGCCTTATGTTTATGGCAATTTTTGGGGTTCTCGCGTTTTCGGCTTCCCGACGCTTGAGGGCGGCCCAAAGGGTCTCCAAGATCGCACCAACACGGCCCGAGAGACCCCCAAGACGGCCCAAGAGGTTCCCTAGACGGGCCAAGACGCGCCCAAGATGAGCCAAGAGGGCATCAAGAGGAGGAACACGAACCTAAGATCCGAGCATTTCGCCCAAAGAGGCGCCCAGGTGGCCCCAAGGGGCCCCATAGAGGCCCACAAGAAGCCCCCGAGAGGCCCAAAAGAGGCCCCAAGAGGCTCCAATGCAGCCACCCAGGAGCTTCAAAAGTGCCCCCAGGAGGCCCCAGAGATTCCTCGACGAGATCCGAACGACCATCCAAGATGCCTCAGACCGACGTGGCGGGATGTGCCGATAGCCATTAGATATTGCGCCACATAGATTGCTAGAAACAAACGGTTTGGGGTCCACGTTGGCTAACATCTTTGAAACTACTGTCGCCGATGATGATTGGTGCATTCGACAGGCTTTAAAATCGCGTGCCGACAACCCCAACAGCAAGCACAAGTAACCACCTGCGACAAGAAATATTGCTACCAACAATCTACGGACACATCATCAGTCTCTGACTCTGAGCTTCATAGGGCGCCCCAACGCCCCTGCGGGCCCATGGGGCGACGATAAACAAATATTGTGGGGTCTCGTTGGAAGGCACGCTTCTTACAAGGCTGCACCTACACGTCGTTGTTTTCCCTATGTTTTTTCGTTTTGCTCTATCTGTTTTCCTGTACCTCCCTGTCACAAACGACAAACAAAACACAGCCGAGGTCAGGCAGAACAGCGTTTAGATCCAGCCCTGGTTTCTCATGTGGCATGCCTCTTGTATTCCTGGCTGGCCTCAACTGGCCCCCAGGGGTAGCCCAGGGCAGCCTCAACACCCCAACCCCGGTGCGCAGAGCGCCCCGGGGACGCCGTCCGAAGCGGCGCGGCTGTGCTGAGGCTGGCCCCCCCCTCCCCGGGTGGAGTGGGGGCTGCTGCCGGCCGGCTGGGACACAACCTCCGGGGGCTGTCTGCGCGCAGCCCCCAAGCAGACCAGTGTCAGGGCCCGGTAGACGGGGACTTGGTCGACAACCAGGACATGTCAGTGCTCCAGAAGAAAGCTGCAGCCATGGGTCAAGACAATCTCCAGTCCTCGTTCTCTTTAAGTGGACCTGGCGAAATCATTTTTTTTTTTTTTTTTTTTTTTTTTTTTTTTTTTTTTTTTTTTTTTTTTTTTTTTTTTTTTTTTTTATAAAAAAAAAATCTCCTGGTTTTCAGAGGCCCTGACAATGTCATCCCCCTTCCCTGCCGGATGGTGCACGTCGTGGACCAGCCCGGCCAGAACCAGAGTAAACTCCATGTTCTCCTCGGGGGAAGGCTGCAGGGAGGTCGCGGCGAAGGGGGCGGAACGACCACCACGCGGCAGCCCCCCGCGCGCGCATCTGCGGCTTCACGTGCCAACGGGGACACAGTGAGGGCGAGGAGGAAAAGGAGGAGGACGAGGCGCAGAGGCAAGAGGGGACACGATGAGGGCGAGCGCAGAGGCGACGGGCCAGCCGCGGCCTGCATGCCGCACTGTGTGCTTTTTGATTGGTTTTCTGAACCATCCCATTCCAATGAGATTTATCGGGGCCTCACACAAATAGGCAGCATACTTGCTACAAACACGGATCTCCCAACAATGTTCTTGCGTCATGTCCCGAACTACAAGAAATTATGGATCCTGCTGCTACCGGCATATACCAGAGCGACAATGATCCCGAGAAGCGCCCTGATCCCCTTGACCGCAATTTGGCAGTTACGCCGCATCAACTTCAGCGATCTCTGTACGCCAAGAAAATATCAAGCACGCGCGACCCGACGAGACAAGAACAGGCGAAATGGCGGTGCAGAGCAGAAGTGGTGGCGGATTGAGACGCACTGTGTCAGTCAGTGCTCCTGAGAGAATGACAAGCCGCACCCAGTGCAAAATGAATAGACCATGCGCGCCACGCAGGCGCCGTGCAAGCTGTTGTGGTAAGGCACCTGTGGATAGTGATGGCCGAGGAGACACAAACAAATCAATGTACAAGGACCGTCTCCCCTACGATCAAGACATGCTGTGGGATCGTATGCATACCATGACACTGCTTGCTGGATGCGTGATGCGTATATGCCCCGTATGTGCAAGTTCCTAGGCTTACCCATTGGCCCTAGCATTTGCGCATATTGTTAGGAATACGATCGGAGGCATGCCCTCCCCACCATACCCAATACTGTTTCCTTTGAGATCGGAACACAAGAGGCCGATGCAACTAGAGAACATGCAGAGGACAAACCGTCAAACTGCTCCATTCGGATGGCGACCTGATGGTCGGAAGGTATCGCTGATGCCAACAACGCAAGACTGGAGCGCAGATCACCGCAGCGCTGTTGCGCACCCCTGGCAGAAGCCAGGATACCTCATCTTCCTCATCCTCCTGCTGGTGCTACTTTCGCTGCTGCTGCTCCTCCTCCTCCTCATCCCCCCACTTCCAAGATGCCAATAAGACCTCCTATGTCCCCCCGGGACCTTTCTCGGAACTCCGTCGAACTCAGAAGAACCCCTGGACGATCCTTCCCCTTCCCCTTCTCCCTCTCCTCCTCCTGCGTCTCCGTCCCCCGTCCTCCTTCTCTCCTCCCTCTTTCCTCCTTCTCCCTTCTCCTCCCTCATCCGTCCTCCGTCTCCACCTGCCTCCTCCTGCCCATCCCTTCTTCCCACCTGCCTCCCCTTGAATCCGCCAACGCCGTTGCGAGGTTGCCACATTCAAAGACGTCCGTGGCGGACCCCGGGCGGCGAGTGCTGCACCCCCAGAGTTACGCAGTTTTGGCTTGACGCATGCTACATTCATCAATTGCCTCGCCAAGCAGCACTTCGCAATCTATAGTCCACGCTTGTTTCTGTTAGTAATTTATCAGTTTGGTCGTCCACCATTTCATCGAAGTTACAGCAGTTTTGCCAACCTATTTGTCTGTTTGATGATGTCCAACACGCAGTGAAGACACACATAAACGTCATCGCCACAATTCTGGCACGTCACCTCGAAGCGTAACTGGAGAAGCACTCTCATTGTCCACGTCGCCATTGATGGTCCTCGAGGTCCACGTCCCAACGCAAATGCTCACCTCACGCACAACAAATGCTATGACTGACATCATCCAACCAACCGGACCAATAATCAGGCCCAAGACAACGGCCAAGAACACCCCCAGAGACAACGTGCTCTCGCGGATCAGGAACGGCGGCTCCGCCCCGCCGGATAGGGTCGTGCCGTAGACCTTGGCCTTGAAGTGCAGCCTGGTCTTGGGCAGCCAGATAGTCTGCCTGTGGAAGCCGCTGGTCTCCAGGTCGAACTCCACAATGCTCAGAGGATCCCAAGAAACGGCGCAAACATTCACTTTCGGAGCACCGCGTGGATTTCTGGGATCGGCGCTGGGCCCTGACCCCTGGAGCGCTCCGCGCTGCAGGGGCGGCGCAGGAGGCGCCGCCAGGGGGTCCAGCGCCGATCCAATAAATCCATGCGGAGCTCCGAGAATTTATGCTGGTGCCGTATTTCGATCCTCAAGATGCGCCCACCCTCGGCGTCGGACATCCTCCACGACCCTCCAGAGATGCTCGGGGACACAAGCGTGGCCCCCGACTTGGGCAGCCCATCGTCGCCGGTGACGAACGACAGGACCCCCATGACGAGGGCGCTGTCGGGAGGCTCCGTCCACTCGCCCAAGAAGTCCCCGGCCTGCACGACCTGCAGCACACCGCCGGGGCGGAACTCGACAATCACCGGGATCTCGAGCCGGTTGCCGTCCGTCGCCCAGCGGAGGGGCATCAGGCTGTTCTTGCCAGCTGCGCGCAGAAGTGGCCCCAGGCAAGAGTGACCTCAAGGGTGCACGGCTCTGGGGGGCCGCGGAGGGGCCAAGCCTAAGCGCGCAAGGCTGTGCTGGGGGAACCCCTGTGGGCCGGGGCCGGAGCGAAGGCCTCTCTTGCGAAGGGCCACTCTTACGCGCAACCGATCTTGGTGCGGCCCACGTCCAGCATCAACGAGTGCCGCGAGCCCTCCAAGGCTGGCGGCGGCAACACCACGCCGCCAGCGGCCCGGGCAACGCTTGCCCAGCGCTGGCCTGAGGGGCAATGAAAGGGGGGGAACTGGCACAGGGGGGGAGCCATCGACTTGGAATCGGCGATGCATCGCCGATAGATCGACGATAGGCCCCCGATAGCGACACCACACCTTCCTGGGCGGGGTGGGGCTATCCGGCCCCCATCGGCGATCAATGGGCGATTGGGGCTCGATGCACCCCCCCTATGCCTACCCCCACCCATCCTTGCCCCTGAGGGCCATGGCAGCGGGCGCCTCTCCAGCCAGCTCGCCGCAGCGCCGCCGCCGCCTCGCGCGGCCCCACGCGCGGGCCGAGGCCTCTGAGCGTCGACGCTCGGGCCGCCGCTCGGGCGCAGGCCGCTGGCGGCAGCAGCCAGCCCGCCGCCAGCGCCAGCGGCACCGCGAGCGCCGCCGGGCCCCGGCGGCGAGCGGGCGCGGGGCGCGGCATGGCCCCGGCCGCCCCGCAAGCGCGGGGCGCCTCCCACATATGGAGCGTGCTCCGGGGGCGAGCGGGGCAGACGAGGTGAGACGTAAGACCAAGCCAGGACGAGGATGCACTCGGGTGAGGCTACGTCGAGAATCTCTGAGATCTGGCGGCTCAAGAGGACGTCCTGGGCGCCGCGGGCTTCTCAGAGCGCTCCCGGAACGCTCTGAGACTGTGGACCCAGAGATCCGATGCCGTGATCTTTTCAATACGGGGTCCCTGAAACTCTCGACCCATTGCCCAAGGCTCGCTTTTCATCCGGAACAATTTTTTGACGGTCCCGGGGCCCGGTGAGGGCCCCTGGAAGCGGAAAGCTGAAAAACATCCGTCTAGATTTGTTCCATTCGCTTGACCTCTGTGGAACGGATCTGTCCTCGTCCTCACCCGTCCGGCGACGAGCACGAGTGGCCGTGGCGGGCATGGGCCGTGGCCATGGGGCCGCCGTGCGGCCCCAGCCGCCGTCCGGCCGCGGCCCAGTCTCCTTCTTCCACCGGGTGCGGAGGGCGGGGGAGGAACGGGTGGGGGTGGAGGGGAGGGAAGGAGAAGAGAGGGGCTGTAGATGGACAAGAGAGTGGAACCCTCGGCTCTGGTCCCCCCTTCCCCCCTCTTTTCAACGTTGACCCTGGGCATTCGGGAGCACATGCTCGAAAGGACAACAAAAGTGGACCCCCCAGGGCCTCCAGCCGGCCAGACGCCAACTTTGAGTCTGGGGGGAAGGGGGGGGCGAACATGGGGTCGAAAACGGAGGGGTCTCACTTTTTTGTCCTGTTACTGCAAGGAGGGGGCAGCGACGTCGGCCTTGTTTCGGAGGCTGGGTTTTCCTCGTGCCGTGCTTGCAGCAGTTGCACGAGACGTATTGGCTATAGTTCTTCAGGCCACACAGGAGGCAACTTTCATTGATCTAATGCAAGCTTTGTTTGATGTTCGATCACTCGCATTCTCCGTCTTCGGAGCCTCTGCGATAGCCCAAGAGGCCAGCCCGCTTCGCGCGCCGTCGGATCTTGGCGATTCCTTTCAATGACGAGCCTTTCTTGATTATCACTGCGAGTTGCGTGCAACACGCGAGCCTCGTGCACAAGCGCACTGGTGTACACGCGCGCGGAACGGCGGGCGGGCGTTCGATTACGTGGCGTCGATGGCAGTGGATGGTTCTCCATCGTTGCCTTTCCGTGTGCCTACAGGCGGACGGCCGTTCGGTCATGTTGGGTCGAAGGTAGCCGCATGCGTTCGGAGGCTCTTTGGGCTGGCTCCGTTTTTTGTTTTGGGATGCGTAGGTGGGTCCAGGGGTCTCGTGGGGCCTGCCCGTTTGGTGACGCCTGCGCGCGCACTCGATCGCATCCACCCACTCACTCATCCATCCAAGAGATCAAGCGAGCACGCGCACATAGAGAGCCCTGGAAAGCTTTGGCAAAATCTGGAACGCTCCGTGACACGCTGGGGGGGGCCTGTGAAGCTCAAGGGGGCGGTGCAGGGCTGAGAGAGCCCTGGGGGACCCTGGATGCTGAACGCGACGGCTGTGGAAGGCCTCGAGATCAGCTTCGGGTGGTTCTTGGATGCCGTGGGGAATCTGGAACGCATCGGGACCCCACTGGGGAGGCGCTGGGCTACGCTCGGGGGCGTCCAAGAGGGTGGCGTCGAAGAGCGGTGTTCGCAAATCATGACCCGAGGCATGTGCGCGGACCAAGGGAGAACCAAAGGACGCATTGAAACAAGACGATGGGGACATGAGGTCTCGGGAGATATCGTGAAACCGGCCGTGATATCCCCCCCTCCTGGCTATCACTCTCATCTTGGTCGCTTCCGAGCTGGGCTACGCGCCAGGGCCATGGGGGGGGGCGCGGGGGCGCCATGGGGGCCTCCGAAGCCCTGGGGGAGGCCGCCAGGCGACCTGCGCGACCCCAGACGGGTCTTACGCGAGATGGCATTTCGACCTTGCGCGGCAGCTTGCGCGGGCCGCCAGCGCGGCACGCCACATTAGAGACGAGGGCACTTACGCGCTACCTTACGCGGGCACGCGGGGAGCTTACGCGCCAATGTCGGCGCAAACGATCCTGTCCTTTTGCGTCGCTCAAATCTCCGAACCAAGATGCATCGAGGACAATCACTTTTTTTAGATCGGCAGCGCCATCGGACGGGGGCGCAAAGGTCAAGACCGGCGGGGCGCGCGGAACGAGCGGAAAAGCAGAGAGCGCCCTCGGAGGAGGGAGGAGGAGGCCCGACCGCCGAGAATCGACGGGTGAGTGGAGCGCAAGATGCCTCAAGCACCGGGGACGGGGTGTGTCAAGTAGAGGGGCAGCGCGGAAACAAGGTGCATCGAGGAATAAGATATTACATGATTTCTTGGATCGGTGCTGGACCCCCCTCACCGTCGCGCCGATCGCGCCAGGGGCGGCGCTGGAGGCGCCGCCAGGGGGGCCCAACGCCGATCCAAGAAATCCGCCGACCCTGTGTCGGCGTGTGTGAGGGGCTTGTCCGTTCCCGTCGTTCGTTCGTCGTCGTCTCCGTCGTCTCCTGTCCCTGCGCCCAACCTTCCCTGGGCCGGTCGTCTCCTGTCCCTGCGCTCCCCCCTTGCCTGGGCCCGTCTCCCCTCCTCCCCTCTCCCCCTCTTCCCTGGGCCCGCCGCCGCTCCCCCCCCCCGCTTTTCCTGGGCCTCCCCCCCTCAAGAGCAACGTTGTCATTAAGTCGAAGGGAAGCCACTTCCTTTTGATCCCTCCCCTGCCGGGGGGGTCCCTTTCAGCCCCCTCCTTCCTCCCCTTCTCATCCACCTCTTCTGCCTCCCCCTCCTCAGCCTCCTCCTGCTCCGCCTCCTACTCCCCCCTTCCTCCCCCTCGTGTTCCTCCTCCTCCTCCTCCTCCTCCTCCTCCTCCTCTCCCCTCCTCTTCCCCCTCATTACCATCATCCCCACCTTCGTACTCCTCCTCCTCCTCCTCCGACTTCTGCTGCCGCCGGGTTTACTCCCCCCCCCTCCGCGACATCATCATCGTCACCGTCACAGACATCATCACCGTCGTCGTCATCTTCGTCCACCTCCTCGTCATTGTTCTTCTTCCTCCTCCTCCTCCTCCTCATGCTCGCAACGCTGTACCCCCCCTGCCTCTCTCCCGTGTCAGCCCTCCCACTCCTGCACTATGCGGCCCTGCTCGCCTCGTCCTGCTCCTATTCATTTCCCCCCTCTCCTCCTCCTCCTCCTCCTCCTCTCTCCTCCTCCTCCTCCTCCTCCTCCTCCTCCTCCTCCTCCTCCTCTCCTCTCCTCCTCCTCCTCCTCCTCCTCCTCCTCCTCCTCCTTCTCCTCCTCCTCCTCCTCCTCCTCCTCCTCCTCCTCCCTCCTCCTCCTCCTCCTCCTGCTCCTCCTCCTCCTCCTCCTCCTCCTCCTCCTCCTCCTCCTCCTCCTCCTCCTCCCTCCTGCTCTCTGACGTCCTCCGCCTCCTGCTCCTCAACGTCCTGGTCCTGCTCGTCGTCTCCGTCTGCAACGTCGGCGGCACCGGCCGTAAGGCCTTTGCAATCCGCGCAGATCTCCGAGAAGTTATGTTTATGCAACTTTTTGATATTCGACGCAAGGGCCAACGTCGAACGCACCACGATTCTGGGATGCAGGTGGGAGGACAAAAAATCTGAGGCAACCAAATCAATCCCACCAACTCTCTGTGCTGAAATAGAAGACCGGATCATGTAATCCAGCCTTCCTTCTTCCTTTTGGGAGTTGGGCATGACCATACTCCTATCTGGTTGCTGGAAGACGTCACCCCGAGCCACGCAAAGACAATGTTGGGATAATTACCGTCGGGATGGAAATTTGGTCGACGAGAGGCCTGTAGCAAACCTCTGGTGGTCTCATGTGGTGTCCTGGGGGCTTACCGGTGGCCTCCAGCTACCTCTGGAACCTGTCTAGGCAGCTGGGAGCTTCGGGTCGCGATGTGGACGGCTTTAGACGGCCTCTTGGGGCCATCTGGGGCCGTCTTGCGGCACTCTGGGAGTGATTGGGACTCCATTGGGTCGTTTTGGGGCCTCTTTGGGTCGTCTCGGGGCGATCGTTGGCCCCCCGACGTAGAGAACAAGTGGAAATAACGACTCGTTAAAACACTTTAACGAACAAGTATGTTTTTCGCTTCTTGGGAGCCTCTTGGGGAGTCCGTTGGGGCCGTCTTGGGCCGTCTTGGGGGCCTGCGGGGCCGTCTGGGGGATCAGTTCGGGCGAGGTGCGCGTGCAATGAGTGAAGCAGGTGTGGCAGGTTTCGGGGCCATCCCCGTGGTTATGATCATTGGAGAAGTAGTATGTGTACGTTCTCATTCGCTCTGAGGCTCCGCCGCTTCCTTCCTCCTCTTCTCCGCCTAATTCAAGCTTCGCGCGGCCCGCTTAGCTTTGACCAGAAGAGGTGCGCTCTCGACCCGCGGATCAAAAATGTGTACGTTCTCATGGTCAGCGATGGTTCCGAGTCGGCGTCGGAGGAGGCGAAAGAGGCCAAAAGATCCCACCGAGGGCCCCGAGAACGACATCCCCGAGAGACTCTCCAGACAGCCGAGAAGGGCCCAAGACGGCACCAAGATTGCCTAAGATTAATATAGCCCAGAGAGGGCCTGGCAGGAGCCCAAGGCAGCCCCAAGACAGCCCCAAGACGGCCCAAGTAACCCCCATGCGAACCCCTCAAACAATAGGGACGAGAGGTGTCACATGGTACGGCCTTCTGGATGGTGCTCGAATGTCGTTGCACAGAGTGCTGCGCTGGTACGGTGGCGGGACTTGCCGCAAGCAACTGGATAATGTGAGGACCTGCTCTGTATAGGTACCGTATACGAACGATTACGAGATGCGAATGTATATACATGTCGCTGACAATGTCCAACGTCGAACCCAAGCCGAACATTAGCAACACACAACACAACTTTTGACTTTTGACCACTGCACGACGAAATTAGCAGCCAGCCGACACAGCACGTGTATTACACATGCAACACGTCATACGTTCAATGAGGGAATGCGCCCGTCATCGCTCGCCTGCCGCAGAGAAGCCCATCGTGCAGCCCTGGGTCGCCGCCCGCAGATGTTGGCCAGTGCGTGCGGAGCGCTCTTCTGACCAGCGCTCTGCTGCACGGCCCCTCCTCCGA